GTTTATTCATACTGTGTTTTTGCATGCATTAAGCAGGGGTTGATTTGAGTATTAACAAGAATATGAAAGAGATTAATTCCTTATTCGTTGAGAAAAGACTTAACCAGTATAGATATTACTTGCTGGAACTCATATATAAAACCATCTTTCAAATTTCAATAACAACAAAGACATATAAATACTACTAAACCCTGGTACTTGGCCAGTTTTCGCCTCAGTCATCGTCGACATACACAGTTTCTTGCGTAAACAAGCCACCAAACACCTTCCTCACTTCCTTGTTCGCATCCGTTTGATTGACCTTAGGCTTTGGCTGCTCCTTCGGTTTCAAAGAAGCCAGTTTTGGAGTTGTAATTTGCTTGGCAACCGCTTTCTGCCGAGGTAAAGTCCGAGCCTTTGCCTGTCCTCGGACAGTGGCAATCTGCACTTTTGTTGTCTCTGCAGACTTTTGAACTGTGTCTGCAAGTTGTGAGCTAAACTTGTCCCAGGACAGCCCTGAGCCAATATCTTTTGCCTTGTTGAAGAGGCTGTCTATTGTGCCCCCTGCAGCTTCAGCCTTCACTTGAGCATCCTCAGCTAAAGTAGTTGCTCGAGCTTCTTGCTCAGTCAGCTTTTTTACCTCTTCTTCAAGTTTCTTCGTTGCTTCAGCCGCCTGGCGAGCTCTCTCAGCAGCTATTATTGCCTCTTCCTCTGCTTTTGCCTTTGCAATTGATTCTGCATAAGCTTTCCTTCTTCCATCCTCAGGGATCGCACTAAAGGCAATAAAAAACACACACAAAGTCAGACAATTTTCCATCAAAAGCAGATCATTCTTGCCCAACTTATGAATTTGATTTAGTTACCATCACAACTTGATGAAATTCACCATTAGTCTTCAAGAAACATGAGAAATATATAGAGACTAATGGAGAAAATAGCAAATAAACCAGATTCAAAGTTAATGAAAACAGAACATATGTGTAAATCAAATTGCATTGTACAATAAAGACTTGGATATTTCTCTTTCAATTCGATAATGGCAAAAACTTGTTCTCCAAGGTACCTGAAAAGCTGATCCACAGGCTTGGAGGGTGCTGATGGATCAGTATATACTTCCACAACCTTTCCCAGCATCAGAAATAAATATTTAATCAATTAGATAAGTAACCAATTAATGTATATATATGACTTTGTACATACCCATAAAACAAAATATAGAAAACCACAAAGAGTAATGTTCTTTGATCACATCTCTCGTAAGGCTGAAACCTGCTGAAATAGATTCATTTCAATTGGATTTCGTCTCTATGAGAGATGTAGTCAACAATGTGATTCGAAAATGTGCTACAAAAGTACCGAACCAAATTTACTTTCAAGTAGAAAAGGTACCTTATTTTCCGCCACAGAAGTGTTTAAGAAAACATCGGCCACCAGGTTTGCAATCTGAGCCTTGGCTACCTAGTTCGCGCAATGTTCAATTTTATCAGGAAAGGTAATGTCAACACAAAAGAAAATAAAAAATAAAATGAAAACATTTCACTATTATTGCATACATTACATTACTTTGTAGTCGGTTGCACCTCCGCTTCCTTCAGCTGAAACGACAACGTTGTATGAACTCTCAGGCGAAAAATCTTCAGTCAAACTTGTTTTTATAAACGTGTAGCTGACACCCGTTTGGATGACTCTTTGCAAAAATTCAGCCACCGTCAACGGCTGAGATCCCGAGAAGAAGGTGTTAAAGAATGAAGAGATGCCATCTAGTACATTGTAAGTTGATACACCCGATGTGTTCCTGTCGTAGATTATTGCCACATGGCCAACGCCGGCCAGTTGGGCAGCTTGTATTACTTGTAAGGCGTCCGATGGGGTGACTTCGGTCGTTGGACCATTCTCGGCGGGGCCGATTGTGACGACAACTTTGCTGGCGTTTCCGATGGCTTTGGCAATGGTCTCGACATCTTGGAAGACGGATTCAACCGCGTTGAGGCGTTTTGATTCTTCGTTTGATATGATCTACGGTGTTGATGGAAGTTGGGGCAAAAATGTTAGGACCAATGCTATCAAATGTTCAGGGCATAGTTTATCCATTTCACATAACAATTTTTTGCAACGTAAATTCAACAAGGCTTCCGTCCTTTGTTAAATGATAGATTTTTGCATTGACAACATGTCGATACACTATTGACAAAATATTGACAACCAAATACAAATTGATCAAAACGCAACTCTATACATTCATTTAAACCCCTTTTAACTTTTTCGACAATAAGTATTCTACCACTAAAGCTATAAACAGAAGGAAGCATATCTTTTGCTCGACTACTAGTTCCATAGCCAAAGGGCCCATTCTAAAGTTTGGTAGGAAATTGTGTAATTCACATTGTTCATTCGATTGGCTTGAGAAAGCTAACCTTGTATTTAGAAGCAACACGAGCCAACTCTTGGGCAGCACCAAGTTCAGGCACGCCAGCCCTCACACTGAAACCTTCACGCAAAAGAGTCTGTGCAATGCGAACCCCAGCCTGGCCCGTTGCGCCAGCAACAAACACAGTTCTAGGGTCCTTGGTTCTGGGGTTCCCAAATGACAGGCCTAAAGAAGGCCGACTCACAACAGGGATCAAAGATTTCACATCCGGAATTTTGCCGAAATCAAACCGGAAAGAGCTGGAATTGGTGGAGTCATCGGCTTGGCCTTCGTCCGACGACGAACCATCGGCCCCGGACTTGCCAAACCGAAATGCCGATAAGGGGTCAGCCCTCTTGGCCAAGACAGAGAGCCTTGGGTTCTTGAGGGTGGTGGTTGCTCTTGAATTGGGTGTGGAGGTTAGAAGAAATGAATTGGAAGTGAGAGTGGCAGCCATCGATGCAAAGAGTGGCTTCTCTTCCCTCACAATTCAGTTTTTTTGCATACCCATGGCTAATTTCTTGTCTTGAACAGCAGAATTGCATTTGGTCCGAAATATTATCTGGATGGGGAGTGTATGGGAGCAGGCAAATAAAATGGTGCCACGTGGCATGCTCTATCTACTAGAGGAAAATCGGACACCAGGAAAGGAGTTTATCCACTTAATGCTTGATGCCACCACAGAAATAATGCGATAGGCATGGACCCACCGACATATAACGTGGTCATAATTATCCAATGTCAATGTCAATAATTTTGTCATTTTCATTGAAGCACCGCGGGAAGCATGTTGATGTGTAATGGTAAAAGTTAAAAGAACCTCAAACTTAAAAGTAAATAGTGAACTCAATATTCACCGGCAAGCCTCAAAGGGCACAACGATGGTAAAATCAACAAAGTTAGACAAACACTCCAAGCTAACAAGAATAACCAAGGTATTACCATTACCGTATTGGTAATAACTATTAACAACACACAGATTCAAATTGGCAATATTACCATTCAAACAGATAAATATTAACTCAACCAGATGGGGAACATGGAATGACCTGAAATGCCACATATTACCCATTGAATGGAAGTTTTGCTAGGAAACATCCAAGGAAGACAGAGGCCGGAAAGGGGGGGGGGAAATCTAAAAGGAAACCAATCTAAGCCCCACAAATATAGCAAAAAAAATATAACTAGTATACTACCAAGAATTAACATCAGTGTTGATTTCTCAATGCTCACCGGGATCTTAACTACAAAATAGATGAGTACTCATACAAACCAAAATATGAAGCTGATGCTAATTGTACTCCTATTTCTAACCCCACTTTCTCCTTCGTTGAGCCAACCACAGTACCAGCACCGATGTCAGTAAGCCTCATTCCATACTTGTGCTTAAGTCAGACAGCATATTAAGTATACTCATCCATGCTTCGCATTTCCAACATGCAAATGCTTTAAGCATACGCTACTACCTTTTAGAGTAACAAATTATCATGAACAGTAACACAAAACACCATCTACTAACCTTAAAGAGCTAATGATATAGCCTAAAAGATCCTTTTACAAATGGCGGTACCTCAAGATGTGCCATTTAGTTCTGAAAATGAACAGAAATCCATGCCAAGCTAGTTGCAGCATATACTTCATAACCAACCATTAAAAGGAAAAAAAATACTGAAAGTAAAAACTGCATCCAAAGATTCGTATTGAAATCGCAACATTCATCAGTACGGCCTGAGGACGGAAATGTATATTAGGGTCATAAATTATCCAATCAACAAACTTTTCCTATCAAAATTAAATGCTTCACCCCAGATGTGAAACACAGTGAGAAAAGAACATTAAGGTGAAGATTAGCACCTCCGTTCTCATATAATATTAATCATTTCATATACATAAATGGTATACCATCAATATCAACCTTACAGTCGGTATCAACATGAGGACCAGACAAATCCAAGACCCGCACCATGGAGAATTTTACAAAAATTAAGTCCCAGGAACAACTCTCAAGCTTCCATCCTTAAAATTTACACAAAATCAAAGTAAGAAAGCAGCAACGATATACATGCTAGGTGAGGGGGGAGAGAGAGAGAAAGAGGATTCACCAAAAGACACTAAGTTGTTCCTCTAAAAGAGCCTGTAAAGGAATAGAAAACTTTACCTGAACCAATGGTCAAAATGTGGATCTGCACATGATCTGCTCAAGTAGGTGACACCTAGTTGACATAAATTTCATCTACCAATTAACCAGAAAGCTAATTTTAGTAAATCCTCATGAATGAAACAGATAAGACCTTCAGGTTCTTTTTGTCGTAAGAAAGAAATAAGATCAGCCAATTATACAGACCAGGACAAATACTACCTGAAGTTGTAACCAACTTTGCACATCAAACAAGCTAGCAATGTCAAATAAAAACAAAAATTAAATTAAAAGTTGAAAAAAAAATATATAAAAAACTAACACCCAATTCAAGAACCAAAAAATCAGACAACAGATATAAAGGCAATCTCAGAGCTTTGCATCCATGTGATGATGACATCCCATAAAACAAGAAATCATATTCACAAAGACAATTATTACCAGAAAATCTAGCAGCAAGGTCTGCATAAAGTTGAACTCAAGAGAATAGCTCAGGAAATCCTCATTTATCCACTTAAGCTGCCAGCAGTAAACACAGACTACATTAAACAGTAAACAAAACATAGAAATACTCTCATTCAAATTCCTAGCAAATCTGAAATGTTACTGCTTAAAAGGATTGAAAAGATTAAATAACATCACAATGTCTGAACATAGTAACAAATTTAGTGATTGATGCCCTTCTTTGCTTTAAGTGATTCGAGAGCCTTCTTGCGTAACTCAATCTCAAGTTTCTTCTGAATAGCCTCTGCCTCTTCATTGTCACTTGAATGAAGCTCCCTCCTGCCTACATGTTCACCACCTGAAGCAGAAGCATCACTGTAATTCTTTCCTTTCAGCTTCTCTGCACGACGTTCTTCTTTTCTGCGGCGTCGCTCCTCACGTCTTCGGCGCTTCTTCTCCTTCCGCAATCTCTTTTCCTCTTTCCTCCTCCTTTTAGAGCCCTTCCTGTCTTCTATTTCAGAATCATTACTGTAATCATCATCTGAAATCACTGCTTGCCTCTCTGATCTCTTATTCTTTCTTTTTTCCTTATCCCCACCTCTGCATTTGTCACTTTCCTCAGAACCAGAATCAAAAGTGCCACTTTGATTAATATGATCAACCTTCTCAACTGAAGAGTGTACAGATCCAGGTTTGTGATGCCGGTCACTGTCCTTGGAATTCTTTGAATGAGAGCGGTTCTTATCATCAGTCTTTCTACCTTCATTAGGATACGACACCTGTTGAGTCTCACCAGGCAGAGAGTCCTTTGACATGGTTGCTGCCTTTTGTTGCTCAGGAGTTCCAGGAGCCCCCCTCCCAGAAGATTTCCCACTGTCAGGAATGTAATAATATCAGGCCTGAAAACTAAGTGCATCCACGTAATCATATATGCATTAAAGATGTGTCAGAGGCCATATTTACCTCCTCATCTCCTGCTCTTTGTTTCTGAATTCCATATTATCCAGACGACTCCGAGATTCGGTAGATCTACGACCAGATGCTACTCTTTCAGGAGAGTAGTCTTCCTTGTTATGAACCTTAGCAGGAGAAACTATCGGCTTACTGATCACTGATGTATTTTTTGATCTTCTCTCTGTGGACTTAGGTCTATAATCACCATCCTCCCTACAACCAAAAATCTAGAATCACTCAGATGAATTGGAAAAAATGAGAATTTCTAACGCTGTGATAATTGATAACAAAGAGTATCCAGAATATTCCAATAAACTTTCAATTTCAAATGTGACCTAGTATAGTTGATTTCTTACTCTTCGCTTATTTCTGGACTTCCACGACGAAGCTTTTGTTCTCTTGGTTTCCTTGGAGGACTTGAGCTAACATTACGAGTCATTTGCTCCCTTGGTCGTCGCACCGGACTCTCATAAGGACTAGAGGATCTTTGGAGGCAGCAAAAAAAAAGTAAGCACCGAAAAATAATCAGATAATCAAAACTAACATCATAAGATCATATGAATCGGTTATGCAACCAAGATGAATACCTCCTTTCTTCACTAGCACTCCTTACACCTGGTGGAGATTCTGACAGTATGTGAGACTTCTCTGGTGATGGCGACAAATCTGGTGCTCTTTTATGGGAATCTTTCTCTTTCTTTGATTCCCTCTGCAGTGATCCGGGAGAGCTAGAGGACTGACGTGGCACAGGAGAAAATTGGGACCTGTAACATTTTGTAATTTAGGATAAAATGATCAAAATTTGCCCAACATGACTTATAATATAAATAGGTTGCTAAGAACTAATTGAAAATGCAACAGAAGCCGCTACAAGGAGACCTTGTCATAAATTAATTTCATAAAATAACTACAACTACACACCACTTGCATAATGTCCTATAACCTGGCATGCAATGCAACAAACTAAAGCCTATACGACAGAAAAACAAACAGAATTGTAACAAAATCAAGGGGTATAAACCTGGTTCTTTCTTGAGGAGATTGTGACGGAGATCTCTGATACTTTGTTCCCCTGATTGGTGAAGGGGAACCATTCTGAATAGGAGATGCAGAACTTCGGACATAAGGCGAAGGAGACCTATTCCGAGGAGTTGGTGATCTCCTACCACCACGAACCGGTGACCTACGTTGCACTGGAGATGCATACCTGTTGCGTGAAGTCAATGGAGATCTTCGATACCACCGTCGTGCAGGTGAGGGAGATCTGCGGTGCACAGGTGAGCGGGATCTGCGACGTCTTACAGGAGAAGGTGACCTGCGACGTCGCAAAGGAGAGGGTGACCTGCGACGCCGCACAGGTGAGGGTGATCTGCGACGTCGGACAGGTGAGGGTGATCTGCGACGTCGGATAGGTGAGGGTGATCTGCGGCGTCGGACAGGTGAGGGTGATCTGCGGCGTCGGACAGGTGAGGGTGATCTGCGACGTCGGATAGGTGAGGGTGATCTGCGGCGTCGGACAGGTGAGGGTGATCTGCGGCGTCGGACAGGTGAGGGTGATCTGCGGCGTCGGACAGGTGAGGGTGGAGGCGTTCGACGACGACCGGGAGAAGGTGATCTATGCCGATAGGGAGAACGTAATCTACGCCGATACGGAGAGGGTGATCTTTGTGGGGAATATGATCTAGATCTTCGCCTCAAATAAGGTGATCTTCCTCTCGGCGAGAGTGATCCCTCGGGTGAATGCCTCCGAAGAGTTGTAATAGGCCGTCTTGGTGGAGAGCGATAACCTCTTTCTGAAGAAATGGACCGTCTCCGTGCTTTTGGTGACTTGGAAACACTTTTTGACCGGTGTCTTTCACTACAGTTATAATTACAGTGAGATCCAAAATTTCAGGAAATACAATATCAAGTTATCAACGTTACATTAGAAATTCTTCATAAATGCAAGATCTCAAAAAATTTAATCCTTAGTTAAATAAATCGATAGGAAAACCTTAGAACCAAAACAGAATGAATGATGAAATGTTCTTTTGTAATAACAAAACATTCTCGGCATAACTTTTGGTATTAGAATATGACCTGCTGATTGACCTAGGAGGTGGACCTTTGTTTAAAATGATGGAAATGAAAATTGATGTGCTCTATTGCAATCAAACAGTATATTTAAAATTAATGACAGAAAATTATGGTCAAGATAATTACCTAGGAGACAGAGATGAATTTCCTGAATTTGGAGATCTTGAAACCCTGCAGGCGATTGCGCAAATAATCTTCAGAACAATTTTATTTTTATTTTTCACAGGAAAATTAACGATAGAAAAAAAGTGAGGGAACTTTCGCATCTAATGGTGTACAGAATCAATCCTTATGGATAAAATATTCCATATATAGGAAGAGTAAGAACACATAGCATACTCAGATCAAATGGTTAATAAAATTGGAAGAACCGTAAAAAAATGCTTGGATTTTTATATACGAGTGGCATATCCTACACAAAAAATTTATATTCATGAATGTAAACATAGGTAGACTACAGATCTTACAACTCTACTAAAGGTAAAATGAATCCCAATCCCTTACTTGTTCCTTGCCTTCACACCATTGCGCTTTTCATTTCCTCTTTCATCCTCAGAACGATCATTTGAAGTCCTTGGTGACACACGTTTTGAGTTTGGCTCCAACGCAATATTGCTTGATTTCTTATCAACCCCTCCTTCCTACAGTAGTTTGAGGTAAAGGTATGAACCCAAATAATTGCAGAAGCTAGCTGAATGCATGAAAACATGAACGGAAGTTAAAACCAAACAACCCATCTCTAGAGAATGCAACTCCAGCATGAATGAATATTCTTACCATCTTCAATATCTCTTGTTGATCCATCCTCTCCTTATCTTTCTTTCTCTGAATTTCATTTGCAAACCTGTCTGCCTCCTCCTGTAACAATCCATGCCAGAGCATCGTTAATAAAGCTGTATCATCTCAACCGATTCGGAACACGATTTGACACTATATATACATATATTAACCTTCTTTTTCCGTGCTTCTTCTTGTTTGGCATCCAAGAACTGTTGAGGGACACCACTAGCATTGTTTTGTGCACTGATAAGAAGCGTCCAAAGCTCTTTCATAAACTTCACAGTGTTTTTCTCCATAAATCCAGTAAGCGAAATTTGAACTTCCTTCCCATTCACTACCTGCAAATTGTAGCACACATATGCAGTTCAAACAACATTACTATCAACCACAAATGCACAAACCTAGGGGTCTCGTACCAACAAGTCTTAACAATAAATCATCAAACTAGAGTAACACGCCTTAGCTATCAGTTGACGTCTGGGTGAATTTTGGCCATGTCAACATTTAATTTCATGGGAAGTCATACCGTTCGCCACCATTATTAACAACATGAAAATGGCAAGTAAATAATGAAGCAAAAGTGAAATTGAACGGTATAACTAGCAGCTACTCTCACTCCATGAAATAAAGAACAAATCATATAGTTCATGACATTACCTTTCCTTCCAAAAGACCATAAATAAAGTTGATAAGAACTTCGTCTTCGAACCCGAGAAGGTCTGTTACCCGAGTAGCAATCCACGGGCGCATAACCTCCATATTCACCTTCGAGGTATCCACCTACAACACATAATACAGGCACACGCAATTTTTGCCAAATATAAAATATATATGGGATATAAAATGTCAATTAAATTAGAAGGAAAAAAACAGGGAAAAGGGCCTAACCAAATGTTCCAATTCAGGTGCAAACTTCTGAGATTTCAACAGCTTAGCTTGCTTATTGGAAAACCTTGTGTCCTGATCAGCGGACGTACCCTGAATAAACATAATCATAGACATATATTGCAACTATCAATGTCTGCAAAGGAATTTATTCAGTAATTAAGAGTTTAAGAACGAGAAGATCTGAGTTACAAAAGATAGGCAATTGAGTTTAAATCCAACATATAAAAAACTAATTAACAACAAGAATTATCAAACTAATCAATTAACTCACCCTGAAGAACCCGCCCGACATCTTCTAGGGTTTGCGATGAAAGCTGAAGGGGTTTTCGGCGGCTTTTGTGTTGTGACGATTGAGGAAAGAGAGAGAGTGATATGGAAGCAGAGCCAGAGCGAGCGGTGTACTTTCAGCTTACGCCATGTGTGTGGGCATCAGGGGAACTTATTCTCTCAAGTTCGGGAAGGCTTTGAATTGAATTAGGGTCTGTAGTTCAATGGTGGTCTTTTGAAGCAAAAGACCCAAATTGTTTGACGATGATGATTTATCCGCCTGCTAACTCAAGCCTGTGAATTTTGAGGGTGCCCTGTGTAGGCCTTTTTATTGGGCCAACGGCTCCTGCCCTAATTCAGAAAGCATTATCATTACAATTTTACCCATCAGATTTTATTTTTTTTTTTTTGGTTAAAGGTTTGTGTGTTATTTTGATACAAACGATATTCGGGTAGAAGGATTTTGATTTTTCGTTAAATGTTAGTGTGTTTAGTTGTTCTAGTTTCAATTTTGATGATTGTGTTCTTAATTTGGTCATAGTCTTTGTACTTGAAACCTCTTAATAATCTTGATGTTTTATTTTTAATGGACGTTAATATGGAGAATGCGGAGTATCTATAGACCTTATTCGTTTTCACACATGTTAATGCTCAATCAGATGAAAATATTAAGATTGTTAATATTAAATCACAATGATACATAGAAGCCACATTTGGAATCAAAGTAAAGCACACAAGAACAACAAAAATCTTTAGCCCTTCTTTTTACGAGGAAAATACTAACAAAGGCCTTTGCCTACCCAACGGTGAATCTAATTCAATGAGTTTCATATTTATAAAATATGAGCATGCCTTCAATAAATCTTTTATTTTTATTAGAAAAAAAATACACAAGTTTAAATCTAACAAATGATAAAGGTAAGGATAAATTATTTGGTCCAACTATCGAACTACATTAGTCGTCTGCATACCTCACAACCTCTATTGGACTCCCACCCTACTCACGTAATCTAACCTAAGTGGGAAACCAATATAGGGATGGCCTGTTTGGCTGTGAGAATGGGACAAACAACTTACGTGGTCCAACTGTCGGACCAAAGAATTTATCATCGAGTGAGAATTGCTTTAATTTAAGCTTTTGTGTTCAACAAAGGACCCAGTAGTGTAGTGGTTTTTAGTAATTACTCTCTTAGAAAAGGTGTTAGGTTTGAGTCCAGCATCCGTGTAGCATTGTGTGAGTTTAGCATATTATCGCCCCTCTTTTTTCTTTTTTTCTTTTTTTTTTAAAAACTTTGGTGTTCAAAGTGGGTGTAAATGCTTATTACCAGTAAAACAACAATGGTCTATAGTTTCGATTAGTTAGCATCTTGTCGAAGTCCCTAGTTTTAGATCCAATAGTATATGGGAAGTTTATACAATGTGAATGTGCATTGAATTATAAACACATGTATAGTCGTTGGACTAACTATTTTACATTTTCTCAATAGGTTTAATGTTCATCATGAACCGCTGAATTTGTTCATATTTAATGTGAATTTACCATTTGTACACTACCAAAATGAAAAGAAAGGCATGTATTGGTTAATTAAGGTAAACAATTGGCATCCTCTATACTATCTTTTTATTCCGACATGTCTCCTATTACAAACTCTATGCTTTAACACATTAGCTCTTTTTGTCTAAACACAGTCTCATTCTTCAAAATGAATGGTGCTTCACACCATTGCACTCCATCTCCATTGATATATATATATATCCGGATGTCCGGATAGTTATTCTCTTATCCGGATGTCCGCACGTTATTATCATGCGGATCCTATTGTAAACAAGCAGGAAAACAGAGAGGGGTAGTACAAAATACACTGCGTCCGCACGATAATAACGTCCGGATGTCCGCATAAGAGAATTTCTATATATATATATATATATATACAGTTATTCTCTTATCCGGATGTCCGCACGTTATTATCATGCGGATCCTATTGTAAACAAGCAGGAAAACAGAGAGGGGTAGTACAAAATACACTGCGTCCGCACGATAATAACGTCCGGATGTCCGCATAAGAGCATTTCTATATATATATATATATATATGTGTATATTTTGGGTGGTAGTGTGCACAATTTTATCCTATTCCAACCAACACGAAACACGAAACGTTTAACCTAATTCACAATTTAGCTGCTAAGATTGATCAGTATCGCGATAAATAAGAACAATCAAGCTCAAGCGTGTCTAATTTAAAAAAATCATATTCGAAAGATAATACTTTGTATATATTCCGTCACACTTTGTACGATACAATAGCTATGCCTATTATAACTTAAGTTTTTTATGTAGTAATGTTGAATAATAACCACAAAAATCTAATCAAGACTAATTGGTCGTTTGCATTTTATTAGATGAGCTCTTGATTTCAAATTTTATGAACGATTGTGGTTTAAGCACTAAATATAAAATTTTGTTGGAACAATCTGAACCGTCAACAAAGCTGGGACCCATCAGATAAGGCAACGGTTGTCCTCTCTTTGTCCAAGTAACAATGGAGATGCATAGAACTCAGACTCTGTACACAATCCAGTTACATAGCCTATAGAGAAGAGAAGCTTCACGCTTAGTCTCTCACGCCCAAAATATCAGGATCGTGCAGATTTCGCCACGTGGATACTCGAATGTAATCGGATGCAAACCTATTTATATTCCACTCTTTATTCTCCAGTTCTCGTCCGCCCTTCTCTCTCTCTCTCTCTCTCTCTCTCGCTCTCTATCCTTCGCCGTTGTCTCCCTCCCTCTCTCTCTCTCTCTTCTCTCACACTCAATACATTCCAAACCCAAACCCTAATTCCATGTTTGGTCATCTGACTGTCATCGATTATCTGCGCTGAAATTTGCTCTGTCCCAATTCTCCTAGGCAATCTTCGATTCGATTTTGTGTTTTGCTGGACGAGAATCGGAGGTAGGCGGAGCTGAGGTTTTAAAAATGGCGACCTCCACGAGCAGCGTCTACGTCAGTGTTATTGAGGACGTCATCAACAAGGTTCGCGAAGAGTTCATGAACAGCGGCCCCGGAGAAGACGTTCTCAAGGAGCTCCAAGGAGTAATTTCATTTCCGATTTCAATCTTCCAGCTTTCATTTTCATTTTTGATTTTTCAAGTTCGCCATCTTTATTAATAATTGAAATTTTAAATTGGGTTGGTAGATTTAGGGTTTTCTGGCGGACTGGTTCTAGAGTTCGATCTAATCATTTCTAGGGTTTTGAGTTTAAGGGGATTCATTGCTTTGTTGGAAAGTCGCTGTGAGCTACGGTTTAGCTGATTTTTTAAAGTTGGGTCAAATTTCAGACTTGGGAGGCGAAGATGATGCAGGCCGGTGTAGTAAATACTCCTATAGAGAGGGCTGTGGCGTCAAAGCCAACGCCTGGTAGTGCTATTACTCCAGTTCACGATCTCAATGTACCTTATGAAGGGACCGAGGAGTACGAGACACCCACTGCTGAGATACTCTTCCCTCCAGTGAGTTTTTGCTGTGTTTTTCTATGTTTGTAATCAAAATCTATGCTTGCTATATGTTGAATTGAGCCCGAGTGTTGCATCACATGGTTGATGTGGGTTCTTTGGAATGTTAGACCCCGTTGCAAACCCCAATTCAGACGCCTCTACCCGGAACTGGGGACAACTTATATAACATTCCTACCGGAGGTAGTGACTTTTCTGCTTCTGCAAACGAGTCTGGTAGCAGCAATGGTGGTAGCAATACAGAGCTGAAAGCTGGAAGACCTAGCCCCTACATGGTAAACACTTAATATTTGGATCGTATGAGGTGTATCCAGTTATTATGTTTCAAATTACATAGTGGGAATACGAAACTCTCTCATTGGTCATTATAAAGTAGCTAAATTTGATTTTAATTGAACTTAGCTCTTTCTTTGTGTGATATATACGATTAACTCTCTTTGTTAATTTATAAATATGAAATATCAATCGTACCTTGTTTAGTTAAAAGGTTGTTAATAATAAATTAAAAGGTAAGGATAGTAATGTAATTACATAACTTTCCACAATCTTCTAATTTTTACTCTTTTTCTTTCTACACTAACATTTGTGGGTGATAATCCTTCGGGTAATAGTGTAAGAGAACCTAAATCTTCTTTGTTCTGTTTGCAGCAACCTCCTTCTCCTTGGATGAACCACCGACCCCCTCTTGATGTTAATATTGGTTAGTTGGATGGTGTGGTTGTATATATATTTACTCTCGATAGTTGTGTAGTAATCTCCATTTTATTGCTGTAGCTTACGTGGAAGGGCGGGATGAGGTGGACAGAGGGACCTCTCATCAACCCCCGACACAGGTAATGCCTGCTATTAATTACAAATTCAAATTGCAGAAAAATGACTGGGTTTCTGGGTATGAAGAAAACTCATGATTAGAGAGTTGTGAATGGCTTTGGTGTGTATGCCTCCTTTTCATTGCTTTTTTTTTTTTCACTTCTTGTCAAGGATATACAATCTATCTTAAGATGCATCATTCTTTTACAATTAAAGTTAATCATTATCTCCCTGTTGGAGAAAATTTCAGGACTTTTTCCAGATGAATTCTGGAAAGCGAAAACGTGAAGATCTTGCTTCACAGTATCCAGCTGGTGGATTTATACCCCAACAAGATGGAGCTGGAGATGCTGCACCTGAGGTTTTTGAGATTGAGGTTTGTTTTTCTTCCTGTTTCATTTTTTAATAATTTCTGACAAGTTTGCTGCACAAACTTCTTTTTAACTTTTTCTTTAGGATTCATCTATTGTATCAGTGAAATTTTTTTATTTATTTGAATCTCTGGATGGGTATTTATCCTTTGTAAAATCTAAGACTAGTTTCCTTTAATGTCCAAATTATTAAGAAAAAACGGCCTGAGATAATCTATTCAATGAATTACAAATTAAGTTAAGTTGAAACTTATCTCAAATCATTAGGCGAGTTGTACTTTTTGGTGGGACATAGTCTGATGAACAACTACCATGTTCAGTCGTATGTGAACATTGATAACCTCTCTCTCTCTCTCTCTCTCAGTTGGTTTCATGGAACTGAGGACTTTGTGCTTGGGGCTCTTATCTGAAGATCACTGCTAATGCTTTATTTATTTATTTTTGCAAGTCATATCTTCTTTAGGGTCTAATAGTTTTCCAGGAAGCTACATTTGAGGTGTCATTCAAAGTCATATGAATATAGTTATTTATGTATGTGGGTGACTTGGTTGGGGTTAATTTTTGGTTTATCCTTTTATTCTGGGCTTTGGCTAGTATAGTAAAGTACTGGGGGTGAAACATGGGCAGGCCTTA